CACCTCCTCCTTGCATCATCTTGTAAAACTTGCTCTCAATATGCAACTGAGGATGTTTGGTTTTGATACATTCGAGTTTGATAGCAACTTCTTCACCCGTCGTTATGTTTGTACCTGTATTAAAAGAAAGACTAGTTTCAAACAATACGTTGTCAAAACAAAAGTAATCCATAATTAGACATAACTTATGACCAAACAAAGCTACTAACACAAGTCAGAACTAATAATGTAGATAATTTAACATGTCAGTCTAACTAATGGTATACATTGTCAATAAACAAACTTGTTATAATCAACACACTGATTCATGTTTCAGGTAGCCTCTTAAATTTTAATAGAAACAACACAATCGGTGGTAGAAGCCAATAACGTCATCTATCAAATACTTATCTCTGCTACATTAGTCAAGAAAATATAATACTTAATGGCTGAGTTCACTTGTCAAACCATGTGACAGTAAAGTGTAATACTTGTATTTATTTCACACACTGTAGTTAAGTACATACTTTACATAGCCATTAAGTGGAAAAACTGTTCACTTTTTTAATACTAAAGACAAGGGAAAAGGACAAAAAACAAATGTAGAAACATTTTAATCTTAACTAATACATTGGTATTTTTTATAGACAAACTTGTTGAGAAGTAAACAGAAAGAAACAGTTTTATATTTGAAATCTGTTGACCTGTTAGCTTGTTGCTAAATATATATATAGAAAGTATATTAATCCTATTATTTCTAAATGATTTAATTCAGAAAGTTTAAAAACAACAACAATCTATATTTCATTAAATGATACTCTTTCTAAAAAAGTACGATTCATTGTGCTCCACAGTTCTATCATTAATAATAACTATCACAATCACTACACTTTTAACTAACACCACAGTATTAACTTTACATTTATGACGTTAGAAAAAGCATGTAGGTTCAAGAAGTCTTGATAGAAATGAATAAAAAACCCTATAACCTGAGTGTTTTTAAAAGGTGGACTTTTCTTCTTCAGGGGCAAACTGGGAAACTCGTATAACTATATTTATGGCTGTTTTTTTTATGTATTTGACAGTTGCAAGAAAACAATCTGATATTTTTTTTATGTTATCTGGGCCAAAGGATTTATATAGTTATTATATACATTACAAAAGTATATCTAATGTTAAGTGTTTCTTTGTCCAGCTAAATTCACAATGTTAGAAGGACACGTAACTGTCTAGCTAAAGATGGTTGCTGCCACTTTCCAAGTTTAAACAATAATATTAATAGATCAAACTGTTGACTATACAGTAGCTTTCTGTCTTCCATTTGGCATGAGACACTGAAAATATGCTACTGCTGTAGTATATTAGTAATAGTAGTATAATATCACACATATCTGATTGTCTTGTATTTCAGTTTGA